GGACTTTATTTCTTATACACTAGTTTATTGTAAAAGAAACATTATTCTTTTTGTACCAGTTACTTCTTTATATACATATATATATAATTTTTTTCTTTGGGCTCGAATCGACTTGTTCATATTTGATTTTTCTGCTTGGCCCGATTCTCGCCCCCACGAACTTGCATGTAGACCAGCTGAATCTTCCTGGGATCTACGATTTGTTAATTGATCTCCAGGATCAAAAAATCACAACGTGCCTGAAAAGTGGAATCGAATCGACATTTTGAACCGGAGACTTTGATTGAACCTGTAATACTGACCCAAGACATGACCAACGGCCGATCTTGCAGGGTACATCGATCCAGTGGGGTCAAGATAGGTGTTGCAGAACAATCTGAGCGAATATGTAATTCCTAAACATAACTTGGTATATACAAATAAATCGTTTTTAAGTTTTTGTTGTCAATGTTTGTGTTTCAATGTCTAGGGGGGAATCTGTAAATAAGCCTCATGAAAATTCCCACCGGAGATTTTTGAATATACTGTCGATATTTGAAACAGGATCTAGGTTCATGCAGTGCCGTCTTAGCGCATAAATAATTGCCAGGGGAACCGATGATTCTAAGGCCTCCACACTGCATTATTGTTCATAAGAGATAGCAAGGTAATAGAGTGAAAAATGACGAGAACTTTCGCTGGAAGGCTTGAACTTAAAATCCCTTATCTTGAGTTTCATTACTACTTCCCTCGCCGTCACTTGACACTTGTAAGTATACTCGGTCTCTCATGTCTTCTTAAAACAATAAAACTAGAAAACAATCCGAGTTTTTAATTTCTTGATTTGATCCCCACGGGCATCGTACTCCATGACCTAATGCATCACACCCTACCGTGAATGATTTGTAAAACTTTAAAATTCAACAAGATCTTTGTAGATTTTAAAATTTTATTTTTTAAAAGTGAGTATATATGAATATTAAAAAAAAGAAGGAATGCATTTTTAAATAACAAAGATCATAATCTAAGAGCTTAGATTGTTTACATTTGTATTCCTATGGATGGATGGGTAAAGTGCATTACATTGTTCATAGTCTACAATGCTGGTACGATTAACCTGGGTTCATGTCCTGTTTTCAAATTTTAAAACCCCAGTATTTACATTAGTCGGACTATTGTCCTCATCTTTGTCGCCATATTTGTCACAACGTTTCGGCCGTTGTACGCTCCGGCCTTCTTCAGGTGGTTGGAATTTCGAACTGAACCCTTTATTTCGATCACTGGGGTAGACTGTTCTAGTTCCACGTGCCATGAAATTCATACCCAGATGTCCTCAAGGACACACGGCACAGTGGATAAAGGCGTTGGTTAGATCCAGTGACAGACTCAAAAGAGTGTGAGTTCAATACCCGGTTAAGGCAGTGGAGAACTTTCAGAGGAAAAATTAGCAGGAGATAACTGATAACTGACATCCATCAAACATGGCACGTGGAACTAGAACAGTCTACCCCAGTGATCGAAATAAAGGGTTCAGTTCAAAATTCCAACCACCTGAAGAAGGCCGAAACGTTGTGACAAATATGGCGACAAAGATGAGGACAATAGTCAGACTAATGTAAATACTGTACATCATACCTCGTCTCAGAAATATAGACAAACTCTTAAAAAACCCATTCAGAAAAAAATTTAAATGGTTCTTTCAAGAGAGTCGAAAATCACACGGTTCAATTGAATCTCCATTTTCTCGCAGAGGGCTAATCGTGCAGATGGAGCTTCCATAAAACGAAGGTATTATTTGGTTTCACATGAACCGTAAATGCTGTTTGTTTGTTTTTTTCCAATGTACCTAATCCTGGTTCAGAATGTCCCGGAAATTCATGTAGTTAAGTAAAACCTCTTATCGTTGTTAGACATATTTTTTTTAAAGATCAAGTGACAACTTTTCTTCAAGTCAATTGGTTTCCTATTCTGGTACAACCAACAACTTTCAAATCATTGAATTTCTTCAAACATGTAATTGTTATTTTTGCTACGTAGAATTACGTCACCTGAATATGGACGTTTTAATAGATAAATAAATCGTTTTTTAGTCTTTGTTGTAAGCAGTTTATGAAATTGTTTGACATTGACCAAAAACGAACAGCCAGTGTCAATTTACATCTCCCAACTGACTTCGTTTATCTGAGCAAAAATTTATTCCATAAAGTGGTAGATCCATTACTACAATACAATCATTTCAACATAAAGGAGCTGTCCTGAAATTAGTAGAAATCTAAAATGGCGTTAAATAATACAGACACTTTAATATGTTACTATATTCGTAATAAATTTTGTTGACTGTTGGTTGGTTGATTTTGTATATACAAAGTATGTGTGTGCGTGTATGAGAGAGGACAGAAGCAGATAGAGAGGAAGGAGAATATCTTAAGAGAAGTGTTTTCAAGAACATAATCTCGTCCTCTAAGCTTGCTAGTCATCAACAGTTGACTAACAACAGAATTTATTCAGGGGTTGATGGTAATAACCGGTGAAATATTAATGAGAAAAGCTGATAATGTGATGGTAGTTGATCATGTTTAGACCAGAGGCTGGTCGATAGTAGCCATTGACCTTATGCAGAAGCTTCGCAGCTCTGACTGTTATTTTAAGCCTTGGAAGGGAAAGCTACTGTTGCTATGTTACGAAATTTAACTAAAAAGGTTCACCAAACAGTACCAGCCCAAATTAAGTATTAGCAGTGGCGATTCTAAGGGGTGGGGACAGAAGGGCCCCCACTCCCTCCGAATTTTGGCTGGCCCCGCGGTTGCCACCCCACTTTTCTAAGTTTTGTAGAGGAAAAAAATCAGTGTTTATGAAATTGATTGATATTGATCAAAAACGAACAGCCGGTGTCAATTTTTATCTTACAACCGACTTCGTTTATCTGAGCTAAAATTTATTCTATAAAATAGTAGATCCATTACATGTTGGCTTTCTTCTTTTTCTCCCCTCATTTAGAGGGACTGGCTTTACTTTCTTAAACAGTTTTGGAAAATGATTGGTACCGCTTTAACGTGTGTCCGACCGATCAGTTCCTGCTTTAGTGTGTGTCTTACCACCGCCATTTGTATTCTACATTATTAAGACATTGTCTCGGCTTTTTTCTCGATGTGTTAAAAGACATTCAGAATGTTTTTATTTAAGAGATTCAAATATCTTGTTTTATGATCATTTTTTTAGTCAAATTTCTTTTAATTTTTGTGGGATTTTAAATTTTATAATACAATACGTTTTTTGCTTTTCCCCTTACGTTAGATAATGTCGGATATAAATCTGATGATAGGACACACTAATCGGCAGGACACACGCTAAAACGGCATCAAATGGACTCCTATTTTGATTTTTAAAACAATTGTTCCGAAGCTTGACGTTTACTCGTGAGTTTTTCTGTATTTATCAACGCAACCAAAAAACTTGTTTCCCTGGTTTTTACACCTTATTGAATTTTTAATCTAACATTTTATATACACTTTCATTATCTACATTTTTAATACTAGCAACATCCATAGTCCCTAATGTCATAGTATAAGTCACCTTGATCGCGTTTACTAGTGATATATTCTTTAGACAAGTCTTTTTTATGCTTTCATTTGAGAAACTACAAACAAATTTGTTCTTTAAGGCTTTATTCAAAAAGTGTTACGAAGTCTTACGTTGGATAGAAATGTTTTAAACGTACAAATAAATTGTCTACGGACTCACCTGTCTCTTGTTTAACGCCATGCAGTGGCGATTCTAATGGGGGGGAGGGTGGCAAAGGGCCAAAGCCCCTCATCCCAGAATTTTGGCTGGCCTCTCGGTTAACCCCCGAAACACTTTTCTAAGTTTTGTAGAGGGAATAAAAACCTCAGAGCAGATAAATTACACTGTCCTGCTAGTATTGACGTTAGTATTTAACCCTTTGATTTTGTTTTGAAATTAACCTCTCTTGTGGTCCAACAGATTGAGAGTGGAAAAGAGGGCAAGAATAGATTAGAACTTCACTACTATGAATGAAAAGTTACTCCGTTTAATTTAGGGAAGTAACATACTTATTACTAATACTCATTTCTAAGTTGTGTATACGATAGTCGATTAGTATGAAAATAAAGACGCTGCTTGAATTTGCACCCCCCTCCTCCGCAAAATAATCTCACTTCCCCCCCCACTTAGAATCGCCACTGACGCTATGTGAATCGGTAACTCCCAGCTACGACGTGATGATTCGCCTGAAAATACTCCTTTAATTGTTCCTTAATATCCTCAAAAGATTTCTCATTGAGGTTACGTACAAGAATTCTCAACTGGACTATGAGTTATTACGCTGATAGCCCTGAGCAGAATTATTTCGCCTCTGTTTCTGGACCAGAGCGATAAATGTTCAGAATTAACAGAAAATGGATCCAAGTGAACCTCCGAGTGGTGGAGTTCTCAACCTCGTCTCCAGTACGCCATATTATCTACTATCTATATTTCTTATGTTGTCTGTCTGTGTGTCTGTCGTGGGCGTTGTTACCTCCCCCAGGCCGCATTTCTCACCCGATTTCGATGCGGTTTACACCATAAGTTTGCAAATGGCTGCCGTAAGGATATGTCAGAGCCCGATTTTTGAGTTCGGACTCAGGTTCCGAAAAAATCGATAATCGAAAAAATCTGCTTACAGAAGGAATGATCGCATTACAACCAAATTTGACACCCTCTTAGAATCTACCATTAGAAGTGTTGTCCAGAAGTTTCATGACCACGGACCCCTAAACAGCGCGGAAAATCGATAAAATCCAAAAACCGATACGCCCAGATCGCACCTGAACCGCATGTCGGTTTTTAGCGAAAACCGAGCGGATTTATGACGAGGCCATTGGGAGTCATCATGTGAAGTAGCCATTTGAAGTGTTTGAAGGCTCAAGGACAAACACTGTCTGTCACTGGTGTACACTGAGAGGAGCAGTGCTTCTCATACGGCCAACTTTACGTAGTCTGCTCTCGAGTCGGCAGGCGCGATGATGTGTTCCTTTATTCACCCTCGCAAAAAGCTGAAAATGTGGTCTACACTGAAGTCCTCAGCCAGTGATACGCAAACTCCATTCCATTTTTCCTTTTCATGCAAGAAAATTACTGTATAAGTCGTACGATTTTTGAATCAAGCACGGGCAACGCCGGGCCATGCTGCTAGTCATCGATAGAATCCGAACGACCCATCCATTTCATGGAAAGGGTTTCTGCAGGTACTTCTGCTAAACTATTTAACAGAAAAAATATACGACGAAGAATATTGCTTGATTAGCTTAAAGCCTACAGCCAATCACATCATAACACTACGATATACGGAGAGACGTTAAAACCTTACACAGTTAATAGAAAAGTCCACCTTTTTCCCTTCGTTTTATTATTTATTATTATTTATTCGTTTTATCAACTTTTTGCCCCCATTTTTTTTTTTTTTTTTTTTTTTTCTACAGCTTCTCTCCAAGCTTAACCTCATTTGTTCCAAGAAAGTCACGAGCTGTGGGGTCAGCAGAGGGCGTAAGCTATCAGATGACCGTGAAATCGAGGCAGCGCGCACCTGGTCAGTCACCCGCTTATTGAACACCCTCTCTCCCCCTTTCCACTTCCCTCAATTGCCCCTGGCTCAATCAACACCCCGCCCACCCCCCGACGGATTCGTTTCTGATCCTAAAAATCTTCTTTCTAACTCAACCCCCCCTTCCATTAATCCTTCCCGCGTTTCAATGCGTAAAACACTGTTGCTTGGATCAAATACAACACGCTGAGTTGAAAACTTTTTACCACTGTCGTCACGTGACACTAATTTTTAAACTGACCAACCATTGTGAACTGATTTTTTTTTTCCGATTTATACAGTTTTAGTCTTTTTATAGGCTCTTCCTCGCTTTCTCTCTACCTCTCTCTTCCTCTCTCTCTACACCTCTCTTTGTGCGTGTGCCTCTCTCTCTCTCACTCTGCCTCTGTGTGTATGTCTCTCTCTCTCGCTCTCTCAATCAGTTTCTTTTTGCGCTCAGTTTTTCTCCTCATTTCAACCCTCCCTCTTCGTCTCTTATTCTTTCTCTTTCTCTTTCTTTTAATCGCTTGTCTTTCTTATTTTCCTTTATCTATGTACCTCGGGAATTTCTGGCCACTGAATTTTCCTATTTCTTGACTCATTTTAAAATTTCGTCTTTTCTTTAAGCGCCCTTCATCAAATAAATAAATAATGATACAAAATGCAAGCACATCGTGTAGAGATTAAGAAATATCAAAAATTAGCAATGAAAAGACTGGAAAAAAACTAGTTCCCGAGTATCTATCAATCTATCTCGCTATCGAGCTAGCTATCTATCTATCTAAGTCTGTTCCATATCTATCTATCTATCTATCTATCTATCTATCTATCTATCTATCTATCTATCTATCTAAGTCTGTTCCATATCTATCTATTTATCTAAGTCTATTCCATATCTATCTATCTATCTATCTATCTATCTATCTATCTATCTATCTATCTATCTAAGTACCCATATCTATCTATCTATCTATCTATCTATCTATCTATCTAAGTACCCATATCTATCTATCTATCTATCTATCTATCTATCTATCTATCTATCTATCTAAGTCTGATCCACATCTATCTATCTATCTATCTATCTATCTATCTATCTATCTATCTATCTATCTATCTAAGTCTGTTCCATATCTATCTATTTATCTAAGTCTGTTCCATATCTATCTATCTATCTATCTATCTATCTATCTATCTATCTATCTATCTATCCTTCTACCTAGCGACTGAGAGATAGAGAGGCAGAGAGAGAAAAAGAGAAAGGAAGAGAGAAGGTGCATTAATAGTAACAGATAGTCTAATTATCTCTTACGGTGTAAGAGTCAAAATGATGATGCAGTGTTGATTTTTATATCCTCACTGTCCTTCCTCTTATCTTTTATACACACACACACACACACACACACACACATATATATATATATATATATATATATATATATATATATATATATATATATATATAAAGGCTCAAACACTAATATTCCATGGTTATAATTTATTACATTGGAATCGTAATCACGATCCAATTCATCAGATCTACAAATTCCTATATATTGCAATTCAAATTTTTGAAGCCACCCCCAGAATTACCATGTAATGAACTTGACAGAAGAGTGGGAAAAATAAAATGAAAAAATAGCTCATAAGATCATTGAGAAAACAATGGAATCAGTTATCAAACTGACACTTTGAGAAACTTTTGCAACGAATGCCAGAGATTTGTGCTGCAGTAATCAAGGCTAAAGGAGGATATTTTGATGAGAGAAAAATGTAATCATAAAATGCATTTTAGGCCGTAATAAAATTTCTAATAAAAAATCAGGTTTCACTTTTTTTAACATATATAATAATTTTCTCTTATTTAAAGTACAAAACAACTACTTTTGGGGCCAATTTCAAAAAGTTACCAGAGTAACCTCAAATTTTAATCTGTGTATATATATATATATATATATATATATATATATATATATATACAGTGTAACCCGGATATAAGAGAGTTGTCGGGACCGGAGAAGAAGTCTCTTATATCCGGGTTTCTCTTATATCCGGGTTCTATGCATTAACACAGGCTCTAATTTGGGACCAGAGAAAATCTCTCTTATATCCGGGTTTCTCTTATATCCGGGTTTCTCTTATATCCGGGTCTCTTATATCCGGGTTACACTGTATATGTATAGCATTTCACCCCAAGCAAGGCGGGAATGCCACCAGCACACAGCGGGGAGTTTGGGCCCAGAGAGTGAAAATGAGAGAAAAGAGGGGGGGGATTGAGGAAAAGATAAAAGATGAATAGGTTTCAAGACAACAGACAATGGCGATTGGTGTAACATTAAAACTAACTTATGAAAATTTCTGTATGCAAATGAGAAAATCACATATGCACCCATTCATTTGTATATATAATTACAGTCGTGTGCTCGCCGCGCGTGCGCGAGCGCGTGTGTGTGTGTGTGTCTGTGAGTATTTATATATCAATGATACAATGCATTTCGATGTGATGTAATGTTTAGCAATCTAGTCTTGCTATGTCGATTACGACTAGTATGAATCCTCTCCCCTCTCCCCCTGCTATGGGTAAATAGCAGGACAGACCGGCTTCTATAGCATTGGATGGCAACTGGTCTACCGCAGAAAGAAATGGCAACTTACTGCGGGAAAAAATCTGCCTCGTCAGTCATGTATCACGCCTCACACATAACTGACTGTCTTCAATCCTCACTAGTCACTTCATACTTTCGGCCTCATACCACAAAACACATACACAGAGACATATATATATATATATATATATATATATATATATAAAGGCATTTATATATATGTATGTATATATATATATATATATATATATATATATAAGGCATTTAAGGTTTTTAAAATTTCCACATCCCGAGTGCTTTCGACCATTCTATTAGCGAGTATCGTGCACGATTTCTACTTTTTATTTTTAACTGAATGTGTGTTATTTTTAATATATGTATCTGAATTTATAGGAATGTTTTATTGTGCAAACACGTTCAGAACATTATGACCGTGTTCGTAATTAATGTTATTGAGTGTTGGCTTTTGTTATTATTAGTGCTTTCATTATTTTCAAGCATTTTTGCATGTGGATGAGGATATTATACTTGTATTTATATATATATATAAAATTCAACATCATCACTTGATAAGACACCAGAAGTGTTGAAACAAAATGGCTATTTTTGTAGTGATTTTATAACATATTTATGTTATAATTTTCGAAGAAATTATATATATTGTTCACATTGTACAGGGCACCATGGCCACTCAAGGTAGAAGTTTACTGAAGGTCCTTTTAAGCAGTAAGTTCCGCTAGGATAGCCTCTTCTCAAAAACTGTACTTTAATGGAACAGAATCTATTGCACATATGCGCATAAAGAACGCCTATTACTCTTTATCTATTCGAAAATTATAACATAAATATGTTATTAAAATCACTACAAAAATAGCCATTTTGTTTCAACATTTCTGGTGTCTTCTCAAGTGATGGTGTTGAATGTAGAATAAAGAGTTTTAAAACGTTCAAATCAATGAAACAGCACTCGCTAGGGGAAACGCTGTTACATAGTCTACAATAACAGCGTTTCCCCTAGCGAGGATGATTCATTCTATAATTTTGGAATAAATAATCATATATATATATATATATATATATATATATATATATATATATATATATATATATATATATACATATATATATATATATATATATATATATATATATATATATATATATATATATACATATATATGTATATATATATATATATATATATATATATATATATATATGTATGTATATATATATATATATATATATATTTATTCGAAAATTATAACAAAAATATGTTATAAAATCACTACAAAAATAGCCATTTTGTTTCAACACTTCTGGTGTCTTATCAAGTGATGGTGCTGAATTATATATATATATATATATATATATAAATGCAGTGCCTTTATATATATATATATGTGTGTATGTGTGTGTGTGTGTGTGTGTGTGTGTGTGTGTGTGGCACGAGGCCGAAAGTATGAAGTGACCAATGAGGATTGAAGACAGTCAGTTACGTGCGAGGCGTGATACACGCTTAGGCGATCATGTATCTTTCGATACATGACTGATGAGGTTGATTTTTTTTTTACACGCAGTAGGTTTCTTTCTGCGATAGACAAGTTGCCATCCAAGGCTATAGAACCCGGTCTGTTCTGCTATGTACCCATAACTGGGATGTGGGGGGAGAGAAGAAGAGGATTCATACCTTTCCCAATTGTATTAGCACATAAGTGAATGTCAGTCAGTTATGCTGTTGTGCGAGCCGTAGAAGTAGTAGGCGTTCTTTATGCGTATATGTGGAATAGATTCTGTTCCATAAAGTTACAGTTTTCGGGAAGAGACTATCCTAGCGGAACTTACTGCTTACTAAAGGAATACGAAGGGATTATTGGGGAATGTTTGTCTCAATGTCCTCGCCGTCTGTTGGGTCTGATCGGGGAATGTTAGTACTGAGGGAACTAAAAAAACTCGTTTGAACATTTTCTTTTGAAAGAGCGATAGGATTGCAACGTTTCGTGGTTGTAAGGTGGAAATCAATTCATCACCCACAAGTCCGCATAGACGCTTTTGAACTCGATCACGACAGGAAAGGGAAAACTGAGAAGCACCAGCCCATACTTGAGGGCAGTATTTGGCGGCCTGATCTCATGTCAAGATAGGGCTTGTCAGGAGGAGTCGGGTACTTTCTGGAACATTAAAGGGAACTGACCATTTTTCCAACATCTTTAACGATGGATCGTATATGCGAGGTCCACTAGATTCCAAAAGGCGCACAAGGCAAAGAGCCACCTTGATAGAACACCCGGTGAGGATGAGGTGTTACTAGTTTGGTTTTTTGCGGTATTGAATGTGACCAGCCAGTTTTCCCACCACTGAGCTGTTGTACTTAGGTCAGAAAAGAGATCAGCTGCTAGGCTCTGGTCATTTAGATTTTTGGTGGTGCACCCATATACCGTTTTATCAGCTGCACAGACAATCACACAAAGGTGTGAATATCAGATCATTAATATAAAACAGGAAGAGAGTTGGACCAAAAAGCGAACCTAGCCTGCCTCGGAGGACAAAGCATTAATAGCTACCTTCACAGATCTATCTGAAAGCTTGATAATTGAGGACACTCATGCAACTGGAGAGCTTGTTATTGTGAGACCGTAACATACCTACAACATGGACTCTTCCAGGACTATATAAAGTATGGGATATAACACTCTAGGAGAAGAGGAGGAAAGAGAGAGAGAGAGAGAGAGAGTGTTCTAATACCGTAGTATCAGCCGCGTACGACGACCAATATTGGACACTAGCACATAGTAAGCTCCGATTACACTTACACTATCTTTGTAACCTTTTTGTTTAATATATCTTTCTTACCTCTAATCCGTGTTCCATGTTTTCCTTCCGGGGTCCCAACTTTGGGCCCACATCACTTGTGTAACAACCCTGTATGTCACACCTTAAATGCCTTTGATATGCCCAATGTGATAGTTCTAGTGATGTGTCTATTGTCTAGTGTTTTGCTGATTCTGTGAGTAATGATAGGATATCAGCGGTTGGACGAGCAGATCGAAATCCGTATTGTTTGATGTTCAAGAAGTTGTCCTTGTTGAAGTGCTCAACAATTTTCTTTTTGATTATAGCCCCAAACAGATGGCTAATGAGGCTGACTTGGCCAATATTGAGACGGGGCTGGGTGCCCACACCCAACTGACCGAAATCGCCTGAAGATTCCGAAGATTCGTGAGAAAATCATGGAAAATTGTAATTTTAAAACAGTAAAATCGACCTTGCTAACCGAAACGCATCCCCCCACCGTGGCGAAATCGGTAAAAGCACGTCAGGCTACAAGACGGTTCCGTATAGGATCCAGGTTCGATTCCTGTTGGAGAACGCATATTTTCTATGACAATTTCTCGGACATTCAGTCCATTAAATGTTGTTAATACCGTTTATTAAAAACAGAGCATTTACTTAAATATTTGTATCTATAAAAAAAGAATGTATAAACATAAAACTATCTTAATATATATATATATATATATATATATATATATATATATATATATATGTGTGTGTGTGTGTGTGTGTGTTCAGAGAGAGAAGATAGATAGATAGATAGATAGATTAAAATGATAGATGGATTAA